ATATGCAATAGGTAGGACATGTAGATTTTGGATTTTATTGTTCTGGCCTTGAGTGTTAAGTCCAGAAAACTGTATAAATACTCTTGGTATAGATGCTTCTAATTTCATACTCATTCACTTGTCATTCCTTAAGCATTGTTATGTATACTGAGCATCCATTGTATGTCAGGCTTGGTGCTGGGCATTATTTTGAATATGAATTTGTCTTCAGAACAGAAAAGCAAGCCAAGGGAAATGATGGAAATAAGAACTCACACATAGCAACTTGGAATTTGCTAGAGAATCTGATGCAAACCAAGTAGTCGACCCCACACTTTTAAATTAGTGAGCATCAGTCATTCTCCTTGGAAATCCTTTTATTACAAAAATATAAAACCTTGATGCAACATCTTAGGACAAAATATTGAAAAGAAAGATCCAGGAATTGAAAACAGCAAAGGAATTTACATTCATCTTGACAAAAGGATATAGTGTTCAGTTCTGTTTCAGTAGTTCTGGATCCACTGGGTATCCGGACTGAGAGATTTCCTTTGTGTTCAAACTTTTCTGTTGACTTCACTCTTCTTGAGGCATAAGACCTTAAGGTAGACAGTGGAGATGTGCGTGTGTGTTGGACATTTCTGGTTCTTATCAATATCTTGTTCTCTTCTTATTTTTGCACACAGAGAAGAGCAGATTTCCTGGTACAAAGAGGGGGCCTGTTACTAGTTCTAGCTAATGGCCTATAAGCTGAAGTGGAATGAGGTCCATTCTCGGCTTAGAAGGTTCTGTTGAGATCTTCCTGTCTCCTTTTCCTCTGCCTTGGAGACATGACCAGATAGTGTAACGTCCATCACCCTGGGTCCCTGAGTAACCTTAGGAGCAGAGCATCTCACCAATGAATATGTGTTGGAACAACAAAATAAGCCTTTGTCTTCACAATCTACTGGGATTTCAGGATTAATTTGCCATCTCAGTACAAACCATTCTACCCTGACAGTTACAGGGTTTTTATGATTTTGTTTTTCCTGGAAGAGGAAAGGATATCCAGATCTTTTTCCAAAATGTTGAACTCTGAGAAATTGTGAGCAAAGTACTAAGATCTGAAGTCATCAGGGGACTGAGGTTAGAGAACTTAGGAAAACACCTAGGAAAAGGACACAAATATCTGGGGTAAAAATGTTTTGGTGGCGAATTTGTATCATCAGGTGTTGGAGAATCAACAGCACAGGGCAATTCAAGGGAGTCACCTGCACAACTCCAACTGTGACAAGATTTTCTTTTATTAAAGAATGGGAAGAGTGTCCATCTAGGCTTTCAAAAGTGGGCAATGAGGGTGACTTCTTAATGGGATGTTTTTAGGAAATTACAAAATGAAGAATTTGTACCACAAGAATCTCTAGGCATGATGACTACTTATGTATCTGAGAAAGAGGTCTGGAAGAGTGAACCACACGTGAAAGCAAACAGAACTTGTCACAAGAAAGTCCCAGGGGAAAAAATAACATTGTGTACAAAAGCTCTCATTAAGAGTCTACTGAAAAGCTTCTAGTGTAATATTTTTCTTCATAGAGCCAATATACCATTACACAAGGTGAAATAATCATTTAAACTGCTAACAGACCTCATGGAATAAAACTCCAATGAGTAGAGCGGATATAATAAATATTCTGAGTTTGCAAGATAGTGACATTTCTGAGCCCCCTAAAGGCCTGGGAGCAATGGTAGCATGGCTGTGTCTAAGGCTGACTTGTTGATCTGTGAGGCTCTTTTAGATGCACTTTTAAGGCTACTTTCTCCCTAATCTTAAACACTTGACCTTTCAGTCTGATATTCTTCAGTATTATTAGATTAGATGATTAGTTATTAAATATACTGTCTCCAGTAAATAGGTAATTGTATAATGCAATGGCCTTCAGCTTTTCCAGGCCATGTTCCCATGACATTTAGAGTTAGAACACAGAGTCCTTCTGTGGTAGGAATGTTTAACCCTTTTTGTGGGTAGAAGAATGCACAGGGATTTCCCCTGGCTCTCACAATCAAGCCGACTGAATGAAGGGCAGTCAAAAACGTAGAGTATCACATGTTTTTGACAGCTATCAAATCAAAGATCGTAGAGTCCCTATTACATTGATGACCACCTAATAACAGTGAAGAATACATAAAACAACATTTTCCCTGTGACCAGCTAGTGTGATGAATACAATGTAGGTACTCACTAGGCTTTAGGTGGAGTGCTTGGGAAAAAATGTTTAGTGCTGCTTTGCAACCTGAAGCATGCAGGTAAGAAGACTGAAATGTCTCTACTGGTTTTTGCCAAATTTCGCCTGGTGTGCCAGGGTGGGGATAGAGAGAAAGAAGAGAGAGGAGGAGGGATGACAGGAACTAGCATGTTTTTTTGTCTTTAGTATATGCCAAGCACTGTGTCAGTCATTTCACATATGCAGACTCATTTTATCTTCCCCTAAATAGAAATAAAGTCTGTATTATTAATCATTGCTTTCTATATTTGGAAGCTCAGGCTCAGAAAAGTTAAAGCAGCCCAAGATAACACAGCCAGGGTAGTTGGATTGGGATTCACGCTTGGATCTGTTTCACCTCCAAGTCCTCACTCCTGTCTATATTTCACGCCATCTTATTCTCGTTAGGTGCCTACTATGTGTAGAGGTGACGTTATTTGTGTTATAAAAGGAGGGGGAAGATTATCAGGGAAGTCTGAGTATTAAGTATCCATCTGATGTCTTTTTTATTAAGGTCCTACTGTGTTCCCAGGAACACACCGTGAAGAATGCAAAGAAGTTTTGAGATACAATTACAGGCCCTCAAATTAGGGGTTCAAAGCTATTTGGAAAGGCAAAGCCACATGCAAAAACCGATTCGTAATTGGGTCCTATGAATGTAAGTCTAAAAGTTCGCCATGGTCAGGGTAAGTGTGGTCTGGAGATGATAGTGAAAGGTGGCAAGCAGGCAAGATTTGAAGGGAAGGGCATTTCAGGTATAGAGTAGAGATCATATGAGCCAAGGCATGGTGTCAATGTCACCAGGGGGCGGGGGGAGAGGGGAGGCAATGACAGCCTGCCTGCTTTCCCTCCGCCACGCTCTGGACCTCCACAGCATTCTATGCTTCTCCCTTGTCTTTACCACTGAGGTAATGAACACATGTGGTATATACACATCCACCTTCCTCCGGGAGCTCTCTGAGAATAGGGACTGAATGGGACACCCATTCATTCCTTAGGTTCAATGCCTAAAGCAGTGCCTGGTGCCCATTAGGTGCTCAGTGAGTGCTTGTGAAATGGATGGATAGAGAGATGGCTGCCGGCTGAAAGGTTGGATAATGGGGTGAAATATTGGAGCCAGACTGACACACAGGCAAGAAAAAAATTGAGCCAGATACGGCAGTAAAACAGGTCTTGGTTGAGTATGTAGACGAGATAAATAGTCTTTACCGGTGGGTTAGAATCATGTGAGACTAGAACACTAAGGTGGTGAGAGCAGGGAGCAGTGAAAGTGAGAATAGAGAAAACGAAGAATTGGCAGGCGGGGAGCAGTGAGCAGCAGCAGGCTTTGGTTCCAAGTCTGATGCAAGAGAGAAGAGAGAATAGGAGTCCTCCAGGAAGAAATGTGGAATGCAGGGAGAAGGATCTTGTTTTAGGGACTAATAAGCTGCTTTTAGACAAGTCAAGGTTTTTAAAGATAAATAATTATGGTGAATGTTTCGTGACAGGAGGGACACTGAGAGTGATTTTAGGTGTTTGGATATATATATGAAAAGAGGCTGGGAGTATGGATGTGGATGGCTGGAGGGGTTTCGGCTTCTACCCGTGGGAGGTAGAGTCCAGATGTGTCTGGCGGTGAGCGATTGCCTCAGAAGCTCCTAGAGATTATGGGTTCTTCCTGGAAGCCACAGGAAAGACTTGAGGTACAAAACGATCCTCTTGATTTAGTTCACATGAGATCTCCTAAGGCCTTGATGTATGATTTCATCTCTAATTACTCTAAATTAATTTTGGAAGCCTCTTGACTGGTGGCTACAAGTGCATCAGATTTCCTTCCTGGCTGACTTGACTTTCTTCCCCTACATCAGCGGGGTTGGGGCAGAGAGGAAGATAGACACACACACACACACACACACACACACAAATTGGATGTTCTTGCATCACCAGAGGGTTCTGTGCGCTCCACACACAGCCAAAACCACGGTTAGTTTTCTTATCATCGCGCACCACACCTGCTTACAGACAAGGAATACAAACCACACGATGTTCAACTCTCCCAAAGTCATGAGCCATGCCCAAATCATGACTCAGAATTCTGGATACCAGTCATTTCTCCTGTCACGAAGGCAGTCCTTTTTTGAACCTGAAACAAACCCATAAATAAACACCTGCTTCCCCACCAACACCCTCAAACAACTAGGTGGACGGGCAACTCTGTAATCCATAGGAGGTGCTTGCAGATATTAAAGCACGTTTCCAAAAATAAAAGCACAAGCGTTTCCCGGCACATTTATTCATTAGGATAGCTACAGGACCAAGAAGAAATACGTACCCTGGGGGTACACAATGCACAAGGACTAGATTTTGCCAATTTTCATAAACATCATGGAGCATAGTTAGCACAGAACCCTACAGAGTCTACTTGGCATATTTACAGAGCTCAGACCCACACCGGTGCATCAGGATGGTTTAAGGTTTGGAGAACAGGTTCCCCTACTGACAAATAGCATAATTAGGCATAATGTCTTAAGTGAACATATTAGCTTGGGCTTTTAACAGTGTGCAAGCCTTGGCTTCCGCAATAACAGCCTAATCTTGTGTGGGAAGCATCCCAGGCTTCACTTGAACACAAGCACTGTTTGTCCACCCGCAGATAAAGCTCTGGATGGTTTTATTTATATCGTCCTTGTTAGTCATACAGTCTGTGTGCAAACAAAACAACATTATTCTTACCTCCTTGGAAAGTTTCATTCATTAGCAATTAAAAGCTGGTGCTGCAAAAGGGCCAGGCACCGGGCAGAGGTTCATACCAGCACAGCACCCCGGGACAGAGCGATTTGTGGGGGCAACTGTCACAGGTAACAGCCCCGTGATGTCTGCCGAATTGTCTTTAATAAATAGTTTAGCCACGGAAGGATGAGCCCACTGTAATTAAATGAGATAATGTCGCCAAAAATCTCTTCAAAAGTACCCTGTTGAAACTTGCTGTCCTCAGGCTCTTGCCAGGCCCATTCCTGCCTCCTGCTCCCTGTCTGCTTGATTGTGGGGGAGGCTGCCTCTGGGCCAGGTTGGTGCTGTCGTGGCTGAGGGCTCAGGAGTGGGGTGGCCTGGCTGAGCAGTTGCTGAGGCCTCTGGACTGAGTTCTATCTGGAACCAGGGTGGGCCTAACCGTGTTCTTTGTCATCCTAAAGTCAGGGAGCTTAAAAACTGCAGACCTGGATGGCTCGATCCAAAAGTCTTGCTCAGTGGCAGCTGGGAACGGTGGGAGAGGCTGGGGGAGTCGGGGTGGGGCAGGAGGGGTGGAAGGGGGCTCCTCTGTGCTTTCTGCTCTGTTGGTCTCTGAACCTAAAGCAGCCCTAAAATCTAATACCTACTATGAAAAACGAATGAAAAGTCATGTTCCCCCATGCTTCTGGGTGTGAGGGGCCGAGGCTTATTTGGAAAAGCTCTCCATCAAAGATAGAATAAGAGGAAGCCCGGAGATTGGAGGACTACACCCAGGACAGGAAATTCGAAATAAAAACGTACTCTCCTCTGAGCTTTGGTGGCCTCCACTGGTAGGGTGGAAAGTGAGACTGGGCCCAGCCGAGAGGGAACTCTAGGTTCAGCGGCACTTAAATTTTGTCTGACCCCGAAGCAAACAATACATAAGTTTGTCCGTGTGGCATTGCATGGGTCAACTTGTTACTTGATTCAATGTTTTTCTTTTCATCTGCTTAGCTTTATATAGGTCAGGCTCAGTGCTGGCGAAAGAATTTGTACTAAAAATAATAAACAAGTTTGGAAATAGATTGGATCTAAAATAAATAAGGTTAATATAGCAATGATATGACTCAGGGCTAGAGGGGACTTTGAGTCATTCCCTGGTGCAAACTTTGTCCACTCCTCAGTGGACATGAAAAGAGTTAAATACTAAAACCCCAGGCTGGTAGTAGAAGTTTGAATCCTAGCTGCTGCCCCTGGGGGTGAGAGGAAGAGATATTTGATAGTCCAAAGCAGAGAGTAAATATAGAGTAAATTACTTCCATGTAATTGGGGAGATTATTTCAAGTAGATTGCAACTTGGAAATGGATTGCTTCTTTTCAAAACCCAGGGTGACTCGGACATCTTTCACCGTGGCGTCAAAGTGGCAACGAGGGGAGGCACAATCCTTGGCTTTCCAGGGCAGCTGTAGCTAGGATATCGTGTAAAGTCAAAGGTAAGCGTCTTTGATACTTGAATTACTCAGATCTGTGCAGTAGTTAATAGGAACAGAACCATAGAGAGACATAGAACTGTGGCCGATAGAAACTCACCACCTTAAGAATCTGAACTGTGCGCTCGTAGACAGAAAATTCTTTGCCATTGATACAATCTCCCTCATTCAAGGGAATGGTCCCTTTGATTTGAAATGACGTGGAAAAGCATGGGAGGGGTCTGTGTGGGTCACCTCAAAGAATTGTCAGACGTTTTTTTCATATAATGAGTCATTTTTTTCCAGTAGCTTCCATTCTTTGGTTCTAGTGCTTTGTCTTGAAGCCAGTAGGAATATGCTCCAATGTTGTGTCCATGTAGTAGTCTTTTAAATATTATTCTCCTCTTCGTAAGTGTGCAGGCTTTCGAACCAGAGAAGCCTTGCTGAGATTCACGGCATCCTTATCTATCACCTCTCTGACTTTGCACAAATTGCCTAACCTCTCTCGGCCTTGATTTTTCTTATTTATTTATTTGTTTGTCTGTCTGTTTATTTAGATTTTATTTATTTATTCATGAGAGATGCACAGAGAGGCAGAGACATAGGCAGAGAGAGAAGCAGGCTCCAGGCAGGAAGCCTGTTGTGGGACTCTATCTCAGGACCCAGGGATCACCACCTGAGCCAAAGGCAGATCCTCAACTACTGAGCCACCCACCCCAGTGCCCCTGATTTTCTTATTTATGAAATGGAAACTATAATAATATTTGCCTCAGAGGCAAAAAGTTGTGAGAACTAAACAAGAAAATGCACGTAAAGCACTTGGCACATCATGCGTTTTATGATTATGCTGATAATCACACATAATAAATTATTTGTTACACGATGTGTTTAGCCTTCTCACAGTTCTATTTTTGTTTAAGTCAGTTCAGTGTGTAGTAACCAGAATTGAACAAAATGCTCCAGATATGTTCTGATAGTACAAAGTACACTATCATCTCCTTTATTCTAGGTTCAATACTTCTGTTGACGCAACCAATTAGAGTATTGATTTTTTTTTTCTGTTTTTATCTTTTTTTGGGAGGGGGAGGAATGTCTACCCAATCAAACAGTTCAGTAAAATCTCTATTGTACTTTGGCGTTTAGTTTTAGATGTTGGTGCAGGACTTCACATTGATCCTATTACATGTGGTCTCTCTTTCAAATCTGTGCAATCCGTTTGTTTATTTATTCATTATAGAAACTTTCAAAAATACATGTATCATGGGCCAGACACAGTTATCTGCTATGTTCTGAGTTTTTTTTAATTCACTGAAGTTTCAGTAGAGCACAACTTCTATATCTTCATCCAAATTTTATAACATGTTGGATAATACAGAGTTAAGGGCATAAGCCTAAGCAATGTCTTTAGAAACTTCCTTCAGTACTGACCAGCATCCTTAGGACACCGTAATCTAATCATTATGAATTCATCTTGTGATATCACTTAGTACAAATAATTTTTCAACTTGACCAGTGAGAAATCCTGACATCTCAGAATTCTTGTTCAAGTCAAAGTTCACTAGATCTGTCTGGTTCTCCAATTCAGTATTCCCAGAAAAATAAGACTAATCTCATGTCATTTCTTTTTTAGGTAAAATTAGGCTGGCTTGTTTTCTAAAGTGCTCAGAGGATAGATTTTCATAACCTCTTCTAGAATTTTGAAGAATCTAAATAAAGACAGAACATAGTGACTAAAACATGACAAATGTCCATGTTCATCCCTACCACATGTGGCACAGTGAGGACGTTTGGTGAGAAGGTCGGGAAGTTTAGTTAGGCGGAAAAATCTATCCTAGGGCACTGTTCTTCTTTATTGTGAAAAATTTGCTTTATATTTTACTTAGATTTTTCCCCTCCTGGGCTGCTTCTGGTAGGGGGTATGCTGGTACTCATCTCTCATACTTCCTATCATAATGCATGACTACTTAAAAGTGATCATGAATTGCTTTGCAAATTGACATATTCAAGGTTTATTTGTAAACTAATGCCTAGGCTATTACAATTCAGGAGAAATGATACACCCTCCCCCCTTTCAGTCTAGGATATAGCAAATAGAGAAGATATGTGTAGGTCTTTTTTTTTTTAATTTTTTTTATTTATTTATTTATGATAGTCACACAGAGAGAGAGAGGCAGAGACACAGGCAGAGGGAGAAGCAGGCTCCATACACCGGGAGCCCGACGTGGGATTCGATCCCGGGTCTCCAGGATCGTGCCCTGGGCCAAAGGCAGGCGCCAAGCCGCTGCGCCACCCAGGGATCCCAGATATGTGTAGGTCTTAAGACATCCCTAGAAACTGTTAGAGAGGGTCAGGATAGTTGCCCCCTTAAACTGCAGACAACTTTCAGATGATTAGCAACAGAGGCTACTGAATGAGAAGCAGGAAAATGGCTTTCTTAAAAATATTGGGAAATTGATGATCTTTCTTTCTCCTTGGTCATTACTGGGATTTTGGAATTCCGGGGGAGAAATTGCATGTTAAAAAAAGTTTTTGTTCCATTCTGATCTTTGCAAAGACTTTTCTTAAATTTGTTCAGGGTAAGAGATTGCTTCTATGGATGTCGTAAAGGTAAGTATTATCTCTTTATATTTGTATCACTAGCACAGTGCTTAGCAGAGATGAGGTACTCAATAACTGTTGGATGAACGAATACTATTTGAGAAAGTGCTTTGTAGACTGTAAAACCTTGCAAAAATGAAAAGATGATAAGAACAATTGCTTATGAGGCTGAGAAACTGCCGTGAAACTCCTGTCCTAATGTACTAGACACACACACTCACACACACAAACACACACACACACACACACACACACACCCTTTGATTATTAGCTTCTTCTTTTTTTTTTTTTAATGGGAAAGGTATAGGGGCACTGAGTACTTTTTAAAATTTAAATCAAAACATGTTTGTTTGCTTTCTTATTACTGGTTGTTCATTTGCTCTTCTGGCTTTTGTTGGCAAACATATACTTGATATTATTGTCCTTAGTTACCCTGAAACCTTCCCGGCTTACCCATCTTTGGTCTGTCGTTCAGTTTTGACTTAGATTTTTCCAACTGTTAGACTGTCAGGCTTTCAAGGATGCATTCTTAAACATCAGTTTCTTTGGAAGTACTTGAACCAGACAGAAGTCAAATGGCATGATGTAAACCAATAGTTTTTCAATGAAGAAATGAAAAGTCTCAATAATGGCAAATAAGAAATCTAACCTATTGACACCAATTTGGTTATACTCTATTGATTCCTACAAAAACATTACGAAAGAGAGTGCTGCATACACTCTACTGATCAGATTACAAGTATACTTCTCAGAAAAGACAAAAATAGTGTAGGATACGAGCCTTTGCCTTGAAATGTCACCTGATGTTAACTGTCCCTCACTGACTCAGGTATTTTCCTGGATTCAGATGGATCAGGTTGTCAGTAGAAAATCCACAAACTGCATGTGGTCATGGCCACTCGATTGAGTGGGCATGATCTGGAGATGCAGTAGGGGAATCTAGCAAGAGAGCAGTCGATAATGACCTAAAAAAAAAAAAAAAAAAACCTCGTCTTGCTACTTACTAAGCGACAGTGATTAATAGGGTGTACAAAACGATGAAAATTCTAAAGATTTCCACAAATGTCTCAGTTTCTTACTTAGGGCTTCAGGGTCTTTAGAAATATAGTCCAGATTTGTTTTCTGGCTGTTTTGCTTCTTCTCGTGGAAACCGGTAAAGTGGTGGTGGGTTGGGTGGGTGGGTGAGGCTTCACGGGTCCCTCATTCCAACTGAGCTAAATGTACCAGGAGGGGTCCCCTGAGAAGCCAAGACAGTTCTACATATGCCAGCTTCACATAGCTCAACAGGGACTTGACACTCGCACACTGTGTAGCTCTCATCCTTCTGGGCACTTGGCAAATCCAAAATTCCTAGATAGCATGGTTTAGGGTGGCAATCTGGAAGGTGGGGAGGATCGGGGGCCCTATGTTGAGGCTGCTTTGCCTAGCAAGCATAAAATTTTTACTTAGCTTGAATGCTTATTTTGGCATATTTTGGAGATGAGCAGATGGAGATAATGGAGGAAGATGCTGAGAAAGCCCCGAGTCACCCCTAGGTACTACCCGTGGAACCTAGAGTTGATGAACACTGCAAAGCTTCTCATATCTGATTGTGCTGTATTTATGGACACAGCTATGCATATACTTTTCAGGTTTTCTACTGCTTTATTTTGATCATCTTGATTTAATCCTTGCAAGCTCATATTCCTTCAGTAAAGTCTTCAAATGAAAGAAGGAAAAGGCACCTTGGAGGCCCATGTTGGATCTTCCTCAAGACAGGCCCAACGGGTACCCATCCAGACTCACTTGTGCCCTTCCTGTGATGGGGACATCCTGTCAGAGGACACGGCCCATGATAACTAGACCCCCTGATTGTCACATAATCATTTCTCTGTGTTAAGCTGAACATTTCAACCTTATGTTCCACACACTGGCCCTTATTTTGATCTTTTAAACAATACAGAGATGTTGTTTCTGTTTTCATATGAGAGTGCTCAAATATATGAGCCAGTAACCATATAGGATTAGAGTTATAGAATTTGTGGTATGATGGGCTGAATTGCATTCCCTTCAAATTCTTATATTGGTCTTAGCCCCCATTAACTCAGAAGGTGGCTGTACTAGAGATAGAGTCTTTAAGGAGATAGTACGTTAAAACGAGAATATTAAGGTGGGCCCTAATCCAATATGGCTGGTGTCCTTGTAAGAAGAGAAAATCAGGACACAGAGACACATAGAGGGAAGGACATGTGAAGGCACAGAGAAAAGACAAACTCTGCAAGTCAAGGGAGAAACCCCAGAAGAAACCAACCCAACCGACATCTTGTCTCAGATTTTGAGCCTCCACAACTGCAAGAAAATAAATGCCCGTTGTTGAAGCCACCCAGTCTGTGTAACTGTTATGGCAGCCCAAGCAGACGAATTCAAGAGTCAAAAGTAGATGGGGT